ACAAGCCATCCAACAATTAACTGGAAACACATTGCAACAATGGTGAAAACATCTCTCATCATCCCTCCTAATGTTAAAAACTATTTGCTATAGTCTAATAATACTATGCTATTCCCTATATTATTACTATGGCCCTTTACACCCATGGGGCCTCCTTATGCGCCCATATATCGGCCATGAAACCTATTACCTAGGGGGTGAAATGTAAGGGAAATTCATTTGTATAGGCAATAGGTTTCTTAGGCCAAACTAAAATAATTGCTGGTGTGTCTTCAGCCGGCCTTCCGAAGAGGCATGAATCAGCACACTTATGTAACCAGGGTGTGATCTCCTATATGAACCCATGTGATCATGCTTTCCCATGGCATGTTGCCACTATTATTCTGAGCCATATATAAGTGCTCTCCAAGTTCTCGGCCATGCTCTCGTCACGGCTGCATCCCCCCGACAATAAAGAACACGATTTATCTGCCCGCCTCTTCTTTCAACTCCCGGAAGCCTGCTCTGGTGCACTCACGAGCCACAGAGCCCACTCCCCACAGATATATTTCTGGAGATCTAGAAAGCCCTGTGCATGTGCAGGGCTGTGCACATGCTCAGGAAAGACCTAGAAAGCCAGAAATCTTGCATCCCTGGCTGACTTGAGACGCTGCTCAAGCAACAAAGGCTAAGGCAGAATTGTAAAGTACCTGAGTGTTGAAGGCATGTCCAAATACATATACAAAGCCCTAGGTAAATGGTTTATGATTTACAGGTTCAAGGCATACAAGGAAATCTGAGACCAATCATTAGCTAACCACTAAATTAACTGAGCAGACACTTCTGTGATTGCAAACTACAGGGAATACAGAGTTTACAGAATTAGTCCAGGAAAGTTACCAAACAAATAAAAAAACAAGTGAGGTTTATTCTAGGAATAAAAGGTTGACTTAAAATCCAAAAATCAATTAATGCAATACACAATATCAGTAAAGAACAAAAATAATATGATCATGTCAACAGATGCTGAAAAAGCATTTGACAAATACCTGTTCATGATAAAAACACTCAATAAACTCGGTATAAAAGGGAATTTATTCAATTTGGTAGGAGCATCTATGAAAAACCCATAGTTAACATCATACTTAATAGTAAAAGACTGAATGTTTTTCCCCTAAGATCAGGAACAAGACAACAATATTCATTCTCACTTCTATTCAACATTGTATCAGAGGTTCTAGCCAGGATAATTAGGCAAGAAAAAGAAATAAGGGCATCTAGACCGGAAAGAAAAAGGTAAATGTATGTCTATTCACAGATGACAATCTTGTATACAGAAATCCTAAAGAATCTATTAAAAAAACTATTAGAACTAATAAGTTCTGCAAGGTGCAAATATAAGATCAATATGCAAAACTCAATAAACAATTTGAAAATGAAATTAAGAAAATAATTCCATTTATAACAGCATTGAAAAGAATTAAATACTTAGAAATAAATTTATCAAAAGAAGTGTGAAATTTACTTTGAACATTAAAAAAAATTATTGAAAGATTTTAAAGAAGATCTAAATTAAAAAAAGACATACACTGAAAGATTTAATATTGTTAAGATGGCAAGCCCAGAAGTTGGAGCTATCATGGTACCATGGCACTTCAGCCTAAAAAAAGAAAAAAGATGGCAATACTTCCCAAATGGATCTACAGACTCAACAGAATCCCTATGAAAATCCCAGATGGCTTCTTTGCAGAAATTGACAAACTGAACCTAGCATTCATATGGAAATGAAAGGGACCCAGAATAGCCAATACAAACTTGAAAAAGAACAAAGTTGGAGGACTCACACTTTCTAATTTCAAAAATTACCACAAAGCTATAGTAATTAAGACACTGTGGTTCTGGCGTAAGGATAGACATATAGATCAATGGAATACAGAGTCCAGTTGCTCTTGACAAGGATGCCAAGACAATTCAACGGAGAAAGAATAGTCTTTTCAACAAATGATGCTGGGATAACTGGATATCCACATACAAATAAATGAAATTGGACCACTATCTCATATCATATACAAAAATTACCTCAAAATGGGTCAAAGACCTAAATGTGATATGAATGGACATTTTTCCAAAGAAGATATACAAATTGCCAATGAGTACATGAACGATATTCAATATCATTAGCCATCAGTGAAATACAAATGAAAGCCACAAGGAGATACTACTCCACATCCCCTAGCATGGCTATAATTAAAAAGACATAATAACAAGGGAAAATGTGGAGAAGTTAGAATCCTTATATATTGCTGGTAAGAACAAAAAATGATGTAGTTGCTTTGGAAAATAGTCTGGCAGTTCTTAAAAAAGTTAAACAGAGTTACCATATGACTCAGCAATTCTAGTCTTAGGTATATATCCAAGAGAAATGAAAACATATGTCCACACAAAAACTTGTAGCAGCACCATTCCTAATAACCCAAAATGGAAACAAACCAAATGTCCATCAATGGATGAATGGATAAATAAAACCACGTTATCTCCATACAATGGAAGATTGGCAATAAAATGGAATGAAGTACTGATACATGCTACAACATGGTGAACCTTGAAAACATCATGCTATATGAAAGAAGTCACAAAAGACCACATATTACATAATTCCATTTATAGGAAATGCTCAGGATAAACAAATCTATAGAGACAGAAAGAGGATCAGTTATTGCCCAGGGTAGGGAGTGGAGAACATATGTTGGGGGGAAATAAGGAGTGATTGCTAACGGGTATGGGTTTCTTTTTGAGGTGATGAAAATATTCTAAAATTTATTGTGGTGATGATTATATAACTCCTTATGAACATACTAAAAATCACTGAATTTACACTTTAAAAGGGTGTTATGGTATTTTAATTATTTAATTTAAAAAAAGAAAGTTAAACAGAGTTACATATGACCCAGCAATTCCACTCCTAAGTATATACCCAAAAGAAATTAAAACATTTGTCCACACAAAAATTTATACAGGCCAGGTACAATGGCTCACGCCTGTAATCCTAGCACCTTGGGAGGCTGAGGCAGGAGGATTGGTTGAGGCCAAGAGTTCGAGACCAGCCTGGGCAATAGTGAGATCCCATCTCTATAAAAAATTTAAAAATTAGCCAGGTGTTATCCTGTAGTCCCAGCTACTCAGGAGGCTGAGGCAGGAGGATCACCTAAGCCCAGGAGTTTGAGATTACAGTGAGCTATGATGACACTACTGCACTCTAGCCCAGGAAACAGAGTGAGACCCTGTATCAAAATAACAATAATAATAAAAAAAAACCTTGTACATGGAGGGTCATAGAACAGTATTCATAATAGCCAAAATTGGATACGAGTGATGAATGGACAAACAAAATGTGGTATATCCATACAATGGAATATTATTCAGTAATAAAAAGGAACAAAGTACTACAACATGCTACAACATAGATATACCTTGAAAACCTTATGCTAAGCCAGTCACATAAGATCACATATTGTATGATTACATTTATATGAACTACAGGTTGGTGGTTGCCTAGGGCTAGGGAAGGTGGTGGGAATGGGGAGTGACTGCTAATGGATGTGGAGCTTCTTTCTGGGGTGATGAAATTTTCTAAAATTGTGGTGATGGTTGTACAACTCTGTGAATATACTAAAATCCATTGGCGTGTACAGTTTAAATGGGTGAATTTTATAGTATGTGAATTATATCTCACCAAAGTTGTTAAATAAAACAACTTGGAACTGAATACCCAAAAGAAGATAAAGAAGGTATAAGAACCTTTAAAAACAGTGTCAAGAAAGCTAAATCTCAAGTACAATACAGAACAAAAAGGGCACTTTTAAATACAGAACAAAATGAGAAAGAAATAGGTCTCTGCCCTGTGCCAGCAGTATAATAATGATAAATGACAGAGGCAAAATGCTCAATTATTATTTTTGCTTTTGCCTTCTTAGTTCCCAAGAGGGAACTGAAGCCCAATATGAATAAAGAGGTAGTAAGCGTAAACTCAACTACTTTAATACGAGTTCAAATATCTTGGAATAGATGAATTATACTCAAGGGAACTGAGAGTAATTTCAAACGAGACCGCTAAAGCCATGTCAATCATACTTGAGAAACCATGGAGAAAGATGTTCCAGAAGACTGGACAGGTGTAATTTCAATTTTCAAAAAAGGGGTAAAAGTTAATTCCATAAATTACGGACCAGTGAATTTGATATAAGTCTAGATTATTACAAGTACAGCTTGCAAGAACTGAGAAATGGAAGAATAAACACTAGAAGTCAGCTTGAATTCACTAAGAAAAAGTCAATTTAAGCTGATCCTTATTTCTTTTTGTACTATTATTAAGGTGGAAGCTATGAGAAATACGGTAAATATAGTGTATCTGGACTTAGCAAAGCGTTTGATGAAATCTTTAATGAGATCCTTAAGAAACAAATTGAGAAATAGGAACCAGATGTTTAATTTTTGTTAGATAGATTAATAATCACTTAAAGGACCATTCCCAAAGCATGCAGATTACCAGGTCACCATCATGCTAGAGGAAGGTTTCTAATAGCATACACCATAGGGTTTTCCTAGCCCTAGGAGCTTCATCACTTAAATCCAACAACCTGAATGAAGATACGGAAACCATCCTGATAAGGTTTATATGTGGCAACATCGGGAATGGAGAGTGAATACTTAAAAAGACAGAATCAGGACATTGATTTTAATTATAAGTAGTTGGGGATAAATAAAACTAAACTAAACTAAAACTTAAAACTTTCCTGGACCAGATGAAATCAAACTACGAGCCAGATACAAATCTCATACCTGAATTAGAGAATGAGTGCAAGGGAAAGAAATAATTTTTCACTATTTCTGAAATTAGCCTCAAACTTGAATTGTAGTTACTGTTAAAATATGATCTGAAATATCCCAGTCAATACACCAATAATACCAACATGAGTACTAGAAGTTTTTATCTACAACTGTGACCTTAATTACTCTCTCACCCTCTTTTAGACGATCCCCTTCAGCCTTGGTTTTCTTCTGCCTTTCTGATCCAGCAAGGTCTACAAGATGTAGCTTGGAGCGAAAGCTACTATTCCTGTAATAATGACAGGAAGACACAAGTGAGAATGGTCCACAAGCTTGAGAGTAGCTGAGTATCAAAGCTGACCAGCTGTCAGCTCTCATTTTTTTTCAAGTCAGTCAAAATGGCTACATTGGTCACTAATGCCCACAATCTGATGTCTGATGATTTGTCAAATCAATTGAAGAAGGAGCCTAATACTCAACCTTAATAGAACTAGTATTAAAAATCTTGACTCTTTAAATTTTAACTTACTTGTCACTTTTCTTTCTTTGCTCTATGGAGATTGTAAAGATGGCATGAGATCGGGATGACTGGGAGTTCATAGCTGTGGAGGCCACAGTCCTACAATTGTTGCCCTGCTCCAAACAGGAAACAGTATCCAGGGCAACTAAAACAGTCTTCTCAGTGAGTCCTACAATCTAATTCCAAGAAAGAAAAAAATTCCCTTATGATTCATATTTCAAATGCTTGATCAGAAATATAGGGATTGGTGGTTTAAAAAAATGCCTTGTTCTAGTACAAACTCAATAAACAAAATAGGTGTAGTAATGAGGACTGTTTTAACCAGCAACTCTGTGAAGATCACTGGAAACCAAGGTCTCCAATCTTCCTCAGGAATGTCAGAAACAAGGGTGTCAGCCAACACTGGAGCTAGAAAAGATCTCTAGATTTTAGGGTGGCAATGGCTAGGTGCCTTCCAGGGAGCTCCAAGTGAAGGTGACCCTCTTTCAAGATCTTTTATCATATGCCCCATGCTGGCATATAACACTGTTCCCAAGTTTTGTATCTATGCTGTCCAATACAGTTGTCACTAGCTACACGTAGCTACTGAGCACTTGATATGTGGCTAGTATGCCTGAGGAACTGAATTTTAAATTTTATTCAATTTTAATTAATTTAAA